ATAGGTCCAGCTGTAATCATCTTCAGTATTTCATCATGTAAGGCACTGAGATGTGCTTTCATCCTTATTTTCTAGTCATCAAATTTGTTTAAGTTAAACAAAAGGTTCTTTGCAAGATGACTTTCCATTTTTAGAAAGTGTTTGGGAAGTGAAGTGGATTTGGATCTTTAGTTCAGATTAGTCAGAAACTGACTCTAGGAACCCTCCGCTCTGATACCACTTGATGGTCCCGGATAAAGGTAAAAGTCTAGGGGGGGGGTGAATAGACTTTTAAAGATTTTTCAACTTTAAAACTTTCCCTTCTACATGAGTTGATCTATAATCTTTTGGGAGATTTATAGATCCACAGCGGAAGTCTTTAACCTCTATGTGTGACAATTTCTGACTTGGGTAAAGTTTGGATTTGCACAGTGAGCAGTTGGCTTGGCAGTTGGCTGGATGGCAAGGAACTGCTAAGGCAACTGCTGAGGAAATGTTTAGTGTATGATGAAAGTGATAAAAGAATGTTGCCTAGAATGATGATAACTGTCTGAAAATGTGCTGAGATGATTATAAAAGAAAGTTTAGCTAGAGCAGTGGTCTCGGCAGTTGGGTGGTCACAAGGGAACTGCTAAGGCACCTGCTGAGTTACAAGCTGATTTTCAGAGACCAGTTTGGACAAACTTCTTGGTGATGATTTTATGAAGATGTTGTGATGTTGAGATGTTCAAAGGAAATAAACGTGTACGAGCAGTGGGCTCAGCAGTTGGGTGGTCACTAGGGAACTGCTGAGGCAACTGCTACACTTGAAAGGTGAATTCCTGAGATCTGATAGAACAGACCTTTTAGTAGTGCTATTATAAGGCTCTTTTGTGAAAACTTGCTTAAAGAAAGTAAGTGATTGAGCAGTAGGATAAGCAGTAGGGTCAGTTAAAACTACTGCTTAGGATGTTGCTAGCAAACTCCAATCTTTTTGTGAGAAGTGATGGGTGTGTGCTTTGTTGAATAAAAGTAAATCAACACATAGTATATCCTGGTTCAGAGGTGGTGTAATCCTTCTACGTCCAGTCCCACCCTCTTTCAGATGGATTTCCACTAAAGATTATAGCCCAATACACTTAGTGTCAATCTAGCCTATACAACACTTAGGCCTAGATTGAAGGTGTTTCACAAGGAGTATAGCACCACTCCAAGTTACTCAATCCTTAGACTTTTCTCAGTTGATCCAGTGGGAATCAAAAGGTACTCTATATATCTAATCACACTTAGGACTTGATAACACAATCCTTCTAAGTGTATACAACAATGTTTTGTGATTTGTTACAAGAAAGTTCTAACCTCCAACTAGGAACTAAACTTCTAGGATTTAGCAATGAATACTTGTGACTAAGAAGTTTACTGAAGCATGAGTCCAAGCAGAGAGTAAATTTAAGTTCACACTTTCTCTTTTGCTAAATAGCTCGTATACGCTCAATGTAAGGTTTTCTCTACTTAGAATGCTCAAATACTTGGTTAGAAACTTTCGTTTCAGCCTATATTTATAGGCTTCTCCTGTTGATTAATCTCACCCGTTGGTTAGGATGATTTAACCTTCACCGTTGAAGATCTGGCAGTGACGAGTTGTATATTCGTCTTCTTGTGCTGAAGCAATTAATGCCACTATCTTCAATAATTTTGCCTTAGAGACAATCTCCAAGTGTTCGGCCCATGTACTTGATCTAGCACTTATTGCTGGTCAAGTCTTTGCCTTCAATCATGTAAATGATTTTGTGACTTACCTATTTGTGAAAGTTTAATTTTTGTGTGCAAATAAATTTATACTGGTAGGATTTAAATATCCTATTAAGGTAAATAAAAATTACCTTATTGCATTTTAAAATTTCCAGTATAATTTTATTAGTCTCAAAAATTGTACATTTATTTGTCACTTTATATTTAGACTTGAGTACTAACACTAATACTAATACTCGAAATAAATGAGGCATAATGTGCACGTGTAGAGTATAGTGGCATCATCAAAATCTATCAAAATTGGGTACTAACAGATTTCTCTAAGTCAGATAAAATTGGCGGTTCGAGGACTGTCTGAAGGGTGGTGGTGAGACAAAGCGGAGATAAGGTGGGAGATACAGGATCAGGATTGGAAGAGGATCCTAGAGATGGAAAAGGAAAATTATTTTCATGAAACCGAACATGATGACTGATTCTCTGCAGACTTAGGCTCAAAACAATGATACCCTTTATAGCCAGATGCATAGATAAAAAATACATTGAATAGATTGTGGAGAAAGTTTATTGGCCAAAAGAGCAGAAAAACTGGGAAAAGAGGCACATCCAAAAACACGAAAAAAAGAATAGTCAGGAGCCCTGTAAAAAAGTTTTTCTTATGAGGATAAAGGGAATTTGCCCTAAATAGGAGTAAATAAGGTTTGGAATTCCAAAATAGGACTACTATGTTTTTCTTCCCGATATAGGAGTCGTTACTGCCATGTATGAAAAATACTGCCATTAATTACAATAAATACTGTCATGTTAAATGCACTGTACTGCAACTATTTTGGCAGTCACGCCTACAAGATGACAGTAAATACTATCATGTTAGTCCTATGTGCAGTATAGTGTAGTAAGGATCGTATACACGGAGAAAGGAATATTTTTCTTTTATGGAACTTGTAATTAAAAGAGGGGTTTTTTGATTGATTGTATTTCATTAATTTAACACTAAGATGAATGACTTATGTGGTTTAATTCAATAGAGATGGAGACTTGTTTTTTTTTCAATTAATGAAATGATTGTCGATCCAGTTATATCTTTAACTATTTCACTCTCGAATACTCAATCATGGAGTATCTCCAATTCATCGAGGGTGGTTACTAATAACGAAACACGTTCATTAATAAAACTTACTATCAAGTCAATATAGAAGACGTGCCGTATATTGACCCAATAGTAGCAATAAAACTTTGATGAAATCGATTGAAATTGATAACTCAACACAAGCGGTTTATTGGTTGAATCAATATAATTAATGCCTCTGATATTATTAACCATGAGACACATGCATTAATAATCTAAATTTACTACCGTTGAAAACACCGAGTGAATAACAAGCGTATTCGTCGATCGATTCTAGTAATAATTACTATATGAAACAAAACTAGTTGATCATTTAAGTAATGCTCAAATATTAATAAGAGATATAAAATAGGAATGTAAATAATATTCAAGGAAAATGATTAAAGAAAATAACTCAGAACTTACAAATCAAAAGTTTCAATGTAGCAAAACCAAGATGCAAGAGTTTAGCTCCTCATTTGGAGACTAAGCATACTAGAAAATATAAAGAAAATACTTAACTAAACTGAGCTTAAGAGTATATGTGAATTGGTGAATTTAATGTGAAGGAAAATAGGTGTATTTATAGGTGTTTGAAGGTGGCAGGGTTGTGTACTCGACCGGGTATATAGGGTACCCGATCGGGTACCAAAGGCAGTGTTCCGGAAGCTGTCAAATGCAAGCATACCCGAACGGGTGTCTCGGTGTACCCGATCGGTAATGAGCCGATTTTCTCAAAATACTCACCCACGTTCCTATGTTTCCCAGGATTTGATTTTGATGTTTGAATCAAACAAGTGCCCGATCGGGTATTGTCTATACCGACCGAGTACATGAATAATTTTCCAAATCTTCAATTGATATTGTCCCTTTGCACATTCTTTGATCTTTGGGGATCTCTTCTTTGATCTTTTGGATGATTTTGACCTATTTTAAACTTAGAATAATCCTAATATAAACAAATTACAAATTTTAAACAAATTAAAGTATTACACCAAAAGTGTGTAATTTTCAAAATAACAAACAACAAAACGAATTAAAAGTGCAAACATATAAATGAAAATTACTACAATGTCAATTCCTCTCAGCAAACGGAAAGTCCTGAATGAGTTTTGGTGGAGTGGTGAATCCAAATGGCCGGAAAAATACAATGAAATCAGGGTATAGGAGGGTGGTTGGGGAACTTGAGAGGGTGGTTGGGGAACTTGAGGTGGAGCAGGGGACAGGTTGGACAAAAGATTGGAGCTTTTTTATTCAACCAAACTCAAACACTTTTTCTGGCACGTAATGACTGGCGTATTTTCGACGGTGGATAGACTAAGAAAGAGAAAGATTGATATCTCAAATTAGTATAGACTATGTCACGAGGAAGACAAATCTGTGATCCATCAATTCAAAGACCGCAGAGTGGTGGCCAAAGTATGGAGTAAATCAACGATGGATTTGAGGCATTCGACTAATTCCTTGCAGGACTGGGTGGAACATAAAAGAGGATAAATAATGCAAATTTATTTCTCTGCTATGGAGTATTTGGAAGGAATGCAACAAAGTGGTTTGGAATAATAAATCTTTCAATCCCTCACATGTAATCAATATTGGAGCTGTAATGCTTCAAGGAAGGCGGGTTGCTCAAGGCACGTTAACAACACCTCAAGGAGGGGTGGAATCAGACACCAGATGAAAGAGTCTTGCTCTAGCGAAAATAAAAATTGACATGGATCATAGGAGCAAAAGAGCCTGGGGCTGGGTAGGGAGACACCATGATGGTAACCGGATGGGAGATGGATTTGACTCTTGCAGAGCAGATTGACATGTCGGAATAATGAGGCCATAAGGGTGAGAGAGGCTTTAGCTTGTGCAAAAGGGAGAGGGTGGGACCGAGTAATTTTTGAGACGGATGTGCAAGTTATCACCACTAGCTTAGAAGACGAACCTGGAAATTCTTATTTTGACGTGGTGATTGAAGATATCAGACAAGTTCTTATATCTGAAACTAGCTTTATTTTCAGTTATCATAAACGATACGCGAATCGTGTAACTCATAATCTAGTGCAACCCTTTCTCGGGCAGTAACGATTTTAGTTGCTGTCTTGATTGAATTTGTAGCCATCTCACGAACCATTGTCTAAATTATTAAAATTGTTGGCTTTTGTTTCAAAAAAAGAGTATAATTGTATAAATTATTTGTCCTCTTACATTTTGCAAAGTTCACATCTACGAAACTCCCAAAAGTTCTCTACGAAAATAAAAAATATGTGAATGATAAAATTTAATAGATGTAACAAAACAAACGCTAAAATGCGTTTGAGTGAGGTTGCATCACCATCATCCTCAATCCAATGCACCGTAGCCTACGTTCGTTCTTTTCACCGCCTGCCATTCTCGGGCAGATTTGAAGTTCAACACCTCTGCACAGCCAACCATTTGAAAGAAACAGAACACTGCCCGGAACTTGGGATTGATGAACACACCACAGTCACAAACAGAGCCTACTGGACCAGGAAAATCCACAAGCTTTGCGCCTATGATCGCAATGTCGACGAAGCTCTACGCATCCTCGATCATCTCCGTCTCCAAGGCTTCTTCCCCGATTCTCTCAATGTCAGCAGCGTTATCCATGCTCTGTGCAACGCCCGCCGATTCCTGGAAGCTCACACCCGGTTTGTTCTCGCCCTCTCAGCACACCCTCACGTGCTCGATGAGCGGACCTGCAATGTCATCATTGCCCGCTTGCTGGATGCACGTAGCCCAGAGTCAACCCTTCACGTAATTCGCGCTTTGTTGCGGGGAAAGCCTGAATTCGTGCCTTCTTTGATGAACTACAACCGGCTGATCGATCAGTTTTGCGCTGTATCGAGGCCCAGGGATGCCCACAAGCTGTTTGTTGAAATGAGAAACAGGGGACACTGTCCAAACGTTGTTTCGTACACAACTCTGATAAAAGGTTATTGCAGAGTTGGGGAAATCTGTTCCGCCTGGAATCTGTTTTACGAGATGTCTAGCGGGAGAGTAAGTCAACCAAATCCGCTCACCTACAGCACGTTAATCCAGGGGGTCCTTAGAAATAGGGAGGTTGAGGAAGGAAACGCGTTGATTGGAAATCTATGGAAGGTAATGGCCATCGAGGAGGATATCCACGTCAACACTGCTGCATTTGCCAATGTGATTGATTCCTTATGCAGAGAAGGTCTGTTCCATGAAGTCTTCAATATTGCAGAAGATATGCCTCAAGGAAAGAGTGTAGTTGAAGAGTTTGCTTATGGGCAAATGATTGATTCACTTTGTAGATACAAAAGGTACAATGGGGCTGCAAGAATCATTTATATGATGAAAAAGAGAGGATCCAAGCCGAGCCTAGTATCCTACAACACAATCGTCCATGGAATCTGTAAGGAAGGTGATTTTTTCAGAGCTTATCAGTTATTTGACGAAGGGATCCAATTAGGATACTCTCCCTCGGAGTTCACCTACAAGATATTAATAGACGGTCTTTGTTCTCTATCGGATCTTCCCAAGGCAAAGCACGTCCTGAGGATCATGCTAAACAAAAAATCTGCAGATAAAACTAGGATTTACAATATATATCTAAGATCAGTCTGTTTGAGCAGTAATCCCACTGAGCTGTTAAACACACTTTTGGCCATGCTTCAATCACAATGCCGACCTGATATCATATCCCTTAACACAGTGGTTAATGGTTTATGCAAAATGGCAAGAGTTGAAGAAGCTATGAAGGTTCTTCATGATATGATGAGTGGGAAGAAATTTTGTTCCCCAGATGCAGCTACCTACACGACAGCCATTGCCGGTTTGCTGGAAGTTGGGAGGGATGAAGAAGCTCTTAATTTATTGCGCTATACAATGCCCAATAACGGCTTCACTCCAGGTGTTGTGACTTACAATGCTGTTCTTCGCGGTTTCTTCAAGATGAATCGGGTTGATGAAGCAATGGAGATCTTTAATAGCTCTGGAGTGCCTGCCAATCCTATAACTCACACTATTGTAATTGACGGGTTATTCGATTCGGGGCGGATTGATGAAGCAAAACGCTTCTGGGATGCAATTGTTTGGCCATCCGGAGTTCATGATGAATATGTTTATTCTGCAATTCTTAAAGGGCTTTGCCGGTCTGAGAGAGTGGATGAAGCTTGTCATTTCTTATACGAATTGATGGATTCTGGGGTTTCTTTGTGTCTTGTGAATTATAACATTGTCATTCATGGTGCTTCTCAGTTGGGGTTGAAGGCAGAAGTGTATCGAATTGTGGGAGAAATGAGAAAGAATGGGCTTACCCCTGATGCTGTGACATGGAGAATTCTGGATAAGTTGAATGACAAAACAAGAATGAAGTTCTGTGAGGATACATACAGCCAATGAATCTCAATTACCACATGCGAATAAGGTGAGTGTAATATGTTGAACATCTTGGAAGGAAAAACATTTGCAAAAATTCATGATTACAGTTTTTGTTTACGGTGAGTCTGAAGTGGAAGCAGCAATTTTTAATCAAAGGTGAGAACCGTAGAGGTGGCACTTAGCAGTCGACCAAGTCACAAAGTTGCGCTTCCTTTTTGCAAAAATGTAAGAACAAATATCTGTACTGTTAGAAATTGCCTTCAGATTTTCTTTGTGGACCATCCTTAAAGTTATTATCATTTCCTTCTGAAAGAACGAAATATGTGATTTATATTCTGTAAATTTACGGTAATCCTACATCAACAGACTATATGAGCTAACATAATTAGGAGTATCCATCAACAGAACTAGGGCGCAAGTTTAATGCCAATTACCAAGTTTAATATTGTTGATGGTATTGCTCCACCTCATTAAAGCCTTGGTCCACCTCATAAAAGCTTTGGTCTCCTATTTAATGAGTCTGGCCCATTTGGGCTGTCTACCCGACCAAGCCAACTTGCCCCATTTTGTCTTCGCCCGGCCCATGACTCCTGTGGCCCTTCCCTTATATTGTCTGCTCCTTCTGGAACCGCCTATTTGTTCGTTCAGTCCTTCTCTCTATCCGATGCGTTTTCTAGAGTGTTACCCTAGTCCTAGAGTGAGAGAGTGCCGGTTTCACTGTGGATTTGAGCTCCGGCTAACCTCCGCTGATTCCTTGGGGATCCTTTTGAGGGCTTCATTTTGGTCTGGTTGTTTGGGGGTCTTACTCTGGTGGGTTCTCTGGGTTGTCTAGTCTGGAGGGTTGGGCTCCTGGACTGAGTGTTTGTGACTGTTGCCCTTCGTCTTCCCTGTTTGCAAGCCTTGTGGTGAATGTCAAGCAAAGCGTTGCTGGACACCCGCTCAGGTATAATTGCTTAAACCCTGACTCTTGGGTTGCCGGAGTGCCACCGGCTTCTGTGCTGCATGTGTGGATCTGTAACCCTAGGTTATAGGTCTGCCGAGTAGAAACTCTAGATAAACCTCTGCATGTACAATATCTGTTAGTACAGAACTGTAGAAACCCTAGGTGGTGTTCGATTGTGCATGAGTGGTCTAATCTGTGTCGACTTGGCCACTGGTTATATGTGTACTGGCTTGTTTATCAATTTGACTTTCTATGTGTATGGTCTTGATTTTGCCAACCTTCTGTGTTATTGCCTCTGAACTCTTCTAAGCCCTTTTTCTCTCTGCCTATTTACTGCTGCATTTGTTTGTGCTTTCCTTGTTTGCTCTTTTCTGTCTTACCCTGACCTATCTCTTGAGCTCTGGTAATAGTGTGGTTTTAAACCCTTCCAGTCATTTTAGTGGCCCCGGAACTGCGTGGTCTCTTAGTCCGCTACCTGATCCCCTAGGGTGAACCTTTATATTACCTGTAGCCCAGTAGTTTGTGTGTGGTCTGTTATCATGGCTTCAAACTAGTACGGTATGATGCCTTTTAATGGTAAGACTGACATTGTGTTGAAGATCATTTAATTGTGAATCAAGTTTGTCATCTATTTTGTAATAGACTAGCTTTATTATTATTCCTTGTATTAAATAGGTGCATTGATTAGATAGAATATGGGCCAAGTGTTAGGCCCATACAAACAGGCTAAAAGCCTTTCTCGCCTACCTGAACCTCGCCTATAAAAAGGGAGTCGAGAGTTCAAGATTAGGTTAACTTTCGTACTTGTTCATTATAGCCTTACGCAAATCTTTCTGTGTACGAGTTCACGGTCTATCAAAGAGGGTTTTACATCGATTCATCTGTGTTCATCTTTACGTTTAATCTTCTTTGTTAGACTGCTATTCATTGCTGTTACAGAAACATGGACTATCAATTGGTATCAGAGCCGATCGAGAGCCGATCAGAAGAACGCCTACAGAAGACTCTGTTTTTCTTTACGTTGTTCTTTCTGTCGATTTTTTACTCTGTAATCTTGTTTCTTGTTAAAAAGTTGTAAAAGTTACACCCTTAGAATCGTCGTTTCGAAGCGATCAAAGGGTATACTTCAGATTTCGTTTTTCGCAATTCCTGTACTTGAGATATTTCGAACAACTTTGTCGACATCTAAATTTTAAGCAGGTTCTGCCAGGTATTTTGAGCTGAAAACTTCACCTGAGGATCTTGACATCATACTCTACAAGAAACTACCTTCAGATTTTGCTTATCTGATTTTTACAGATTGCAGGATTTCGACATTGAGGATTTCGACATCTATTTCTCGAGATCAAAGATTTCGAGTTTAAGGTCTCGACATCTGGTCTCGACATTTGACTTCTCGAAATAAGATTTCGAGTTTAACTTCTCGACATCTCAAATCTCGAGATCCTCTTCTCGACATTTGAAATCTCGAGATCATTAATCTCGACATCCTAATCTCGACATCAAATCTCGAAACCGGGCCTCCTTTATCGAAATCCCAGATCTCGATATTCAGATCTCGACATCTGATTTTCGACATTCTGCCTCTGAAAATCTTTTGATCAATTATCTCGAACGGTCAGTTTTATACAGCAATGGCCTCAGAATTCAATGCGCAAGGGAACAGCCGTACTCCTCCCAGTCTCAGGAAAGGAGAATACCAAATGTGGAGGAATCGATTCCTTAATTTCCTTGAGCACAAAGAGAACTCCGCTGCGATGCTTGAATCGTTGTTTGAAGGACCAGCTGAACTAATGATTTCAGTTGGTGGTGATCCAGAAAACAACCCTCCTATTCTTCCAGAAATAAGACGGAAAGTGGCATCTGAATATGCGGAAGCTGACAGGCTCAGGCTTCGAGGTGATCTCATGGTCAAAACGTACCTCCTTCAAGCAATCCCTAACGAAGTATATGTGCTTATCGATAGCATGCAAACAGCAAAGGAAATATGGGATGAGATAGAGAAACTGCTCCAAGGCACAAGCATTAGCCTTAAAATCAAGAAGACAACAATTCTTATTGCTTATGACTCCTTCAAAGCAGGTCTGGGAAAACCATTGAACGAGACTTACAACAGACTCGTCCAACTGGTCAATGAACTTAGAAAAATCAAAGTATTTAGGTCCAACTTGGAACTGAATATTAGATTTTTATCCAGCCTGCATCCTGCATGGGAAAAGACAGTGAAGGATGTTAGATCTCGGATTGACTTGGGTGAAATTGACCTCTCCACTCTCTATGAACATTTGAACCAATTTGTCAATGAGGTTGCTTGTGCCGAGGACCATCACAGCACAAATCCCCTGGCTCTTGTGATGGAAGCTCAGCCCCGAAGGACAACCACACCACTGAAGAAGAAGAAGAAGAAGAAGGTGGTGGTTGAATCAGAAGATGATGAAAGTGATGACGACAAATCTGATCTAGAGGTTGAGCTTGCAGACTTACAGAAGAAGATGACACTGCTTGCCAAGAGATTTGCAAAGAAGAACAGCTCCTCCAACAAGCTTAGAACCTCCTCCTCTAACTACAAACAGAAGAACCATGAACAAGGATCTTCTAGAAAGACGCCATCAGCTGAAGATGCTCCCAAATGCTACAATTGTGGAAAGGCTGGACATGTCATCAAAGACTGCCGCCTCCCAAAGAAGAAAGATGCAAACTTCTACAAGCAGAAGATGCTGTGGAATAAGCAGAAAATGCTGATGGTGCAGAAAGAAGAATAAACTTCTGCAATGATTGCTGAGAATGATAACTGGGCAGAAGATACTTCTGATGAGGAAGAAGAAGAAGAAAACTATGCCCTGATGGCACGAGTGGAGGAAAAAGATGAAAGAAAGGGTGATGTTGCGATCCCTGAAAGTGAATGCTCAACAAGCTCTGTAAGTACCTCTCATACTCCTTTAAACAATCAAATTCAGTCCTTACTTGAGAAGGACAATCTAATTAAAGAACTAAAGGAGAGACTAGACAATAATCACAGGGTACTGAAACAGAATCTAGACCAAAAGTCTTCTCTAAGTGTTCAACTTGAAATTGCGAAAGATCAGGTCAAAAAGGTGTCCTTAGATTTTGAAAGCTTTGAACTTAAGATAGCTGAATTAACTAGGAAATTTGAGGATAGTGAACGGGAAAAAAGCACAGCAAAGGCTGAATGCGATTTTTTGCATAATAAGAGAAGAACACTTTTCAACAAAATAAAAGAACTAGAGGATCTAGCTGCTAAAAGAGGTCAGTCTGAACAGACAATTTTTCTTAATCGAATAAAGGATGACCGATTTTACAATCCTAGAATAGGACTGGGCATAACCAACCCACGTAAACTAAAGAAAGTTAACTTTCTTCAAATCTATAACAAAGATTACATGGGACTAGGGTTTGGTGAGAAAATGTATTTTCGAAGTGATGATGAAAATGCTGAAGCAGAAGAAGAAAAGAGAAAGAATCCTAAAGCTGCGATTTCTTGTGATTATCCCTCTGTAAATGAAAAACAACTTTCACAAGAAAAATCTAGTTCCTGCTTTAGTGAATGCCTTGACCCTTATGAAAAAGATATTCCACACATAGGACATCCTCTAGACCCACCCCCAAGAGTAGGTATTTCTAAGACTGGAGAGGAACCTTGTATTTTTCCTATGGCTCAAAAACTCAAAAACCTCCAGAAAACTCTTGATAACGAGAGAGAGAGATTTGAAACTGAAAAGAGAGGTTTTGAGAGCAACTGACAGGAACTTCTTCAAAAGTTCAATGAATTAAGTGAGCAGTATCATGCTAAAACAACCCCTTCTACTTCTAAGTCTGATAGTTCACACACCTCACCTGAGAAAACCAAGTTTTTCGAAGGTTCGTCCACTCATCTCTCTTCTCCTTTGTTTACAGGAAATGGAGTGAAGAAGGAAGGAGAAGAGAAGAGTGAGTGGAGGAAAAAGAGGAAGGAAATCGCAGAAGGCAAAAAGAAAGTTTTTTGAGAATAATGCCAGTCCTAGATCTAGTTCTATTTTTTATTCTAAAGTTAATTGTGATTCTGTCTCTAAGAAACAAACTTCTAGTAGTTCAGTCTTGAGTCCCAAGCTGAATATTTCTGAGACTTCTTCTAGACATCGTTCTATTCATAATTCAAGTATTGCTTATGGTTATTCTGTTCCAGACCCCTATAATTATGAATGTGATGTGAATGTTGTTAAAGCAAAGCCTCACAGAAAGCTCAAACCTAAAAGAGAAACCGAGAACAGAACTTCTAAGGGAATATTTTGTATACCTGATATGAAATATGCTCTTCGAGTTCATTCAAGGAAACATCTTAATCGGCTTTCTAAAGAGGAAATTTTTAAAACCAAACTTAAGAAACATCTATTCAATCACAAAGCTCATGTCTACTC